TTAAGGAAGAGTTTCATACAGAGAATGTTCAGGAGTCAAGAAGGACTCGTACAAGGCTGTTATATTGGTATATATTTAATATAATATATGTTATCGTGGTTACAGATACATATTTGGTGCTTTATTTATCAAGAAGTATGAGTTACATAGCACATAACATATTGGATACAAAATCAGAAGATAAACACAATTGTTCCTAAATGAAAAACTTATGGGATATATGCTGACAAATGGATTTCCAAACCTTTCGTTTCTCCTCCTTTCTCTAGGCTGTGTCTCCTGAAGATGAGTTGCAAGTGCAGTATTTTAAAAAATTTTAGTTCCCTCAAATCCTGATACTGTCTGACATAAAAAGAACTTTTGCCAAAATTTATCCATATTACTTCTCTCCACTGGCAAATCTCTCAGCATTTCCCATTGTTTTGTCTATGCCTTAGCCTATACATTTTCCTAGATGGCAAGTTAAATGCTTTTAATGTATTCATATTACATAATTGTGGTTAGACCTAACTATTTTAAATGTTTCCTCTTGCAGGGGGAGAAGAAGAAGGGAGATATGGGGTGAGGTGGGGAGGGAAAATATCTCAGGTGAGAAAACAAGTAAGTTGCAAGAGGCTTATCAAACTAGATATGAATGTTATGAGTGATGTGTAGCTTCTCTACTAAAAAAAATAAGATAAGATTATTATTAAACTGTGAGGTGAGGATAATATTCCAAAGGTGTTTTTTTTTGGCCCTTCACTCTCTGCCGTCAGCTTCCATTCAAAGTACAAATGTCTCTTCAGTTAGGAGAGCTGATCTTTTCTGATCCAGAATGGTTAACTGATGCTGGGGAGAGCCTTTCTTTAGATATCTATTGCTCTGGTCTGCCACATGACCTGTTTGGGTGAAAGTATGTTTAACACAAGTAGCAATTGTAACACAAGTAGCTAAACTGTTAACTAAAAAGACTTGTCCCAAGCAAGTGTTAAATACATACTTGTCTAATAGAACGGAGAGACTAGAAAACTAGAGGGGTCGAAGGACAACGCAGTCAGGATACACTGAGATTCATCCAGACCTCACGTCCAGACCGACATAGGGTTGCCTGGCCCTTGGGTTTGGAAGCTTGGATGTTAGAAACGGAGTTCTCCACGCGTTGATTTCTGGCACATGTGAGCCAAATGCAGAAAGGAGATCCTCCCTGTTTGTTCTTTTGTCTAATCAAGATTCCCTACAATGTTAAAATGAAGTTTCCATCCAGCTGCCTAGTGAGTCAAGAAATGCCTTCCTGCAGATCTTGATGGGGACAGCAAGAAGCACTCTGATTTTCAATCCAGTGGAGCTGCTCTTCAATGTTTCCTAGTGAATGGATTCACTTCATAGGTCTGGGCCCTTACTTCTTTACCACTCTACTTCTCTCCTTGTTCCCCTTTCTTCTCATGACGCTTTCTCTCCCAAACCTGCTCAATTCCCAGGGGACAGGGAAAATGGCCTGCTACAGGGAATGACTTCAGGGGTAAAAATCATTTCCCTGAAATATAAACAGCCTCTTAAGTGATTCTCAAATTATCAAATTTGCGATGGGACAGATGGTTTGACAAAGCCCTGGCAGGGAACGCTTATTAGTTTATCGATTTGCTAATGGTCAAGTTTTTATTGAAACTTCTGGACATCTGTTATTCTTTGGGAAATAATTAAAAATCCATCCTCTTGAAATGGAGTGTATACAAAGAACACATCAACCAAGCACAATCCATGGCTTTGCAGAGGACAAAAATAAAAACAATTTCTTTACCAAGTTCTTCTCTTTATGCACTAAAAACTGAATCGACTTAAAGCATAAATTATACAGTAGAGAATTGGAATACACGAGGTGTGGGGATGGGGGCACAAAATGTTTCCATACATTTGATTCTATTGATTTGAAAGCAAAGTTACTGAAATGCCTCAGTTAGTTCTGCATTTCAGAAGGTGTCTATCTGGGAGAAAGAAAACGTGTGTGTGTGTGTGTGTGTGTGCCCACATGTGCATGTGTGCATATGTGTGTAGGGGGTTGTTCACATGAACAAGCACTGCTTTAGCAGATATACATGGAACACAGCCCCCTAATTTACTCTAGAGTCGATAGTCTGTCTCTTTTTTCTGGTCCAATTTAGATCCTGATCTGACGCCAATCCCCAACTATATCAAACCCAAGGAGAAAAACTTAGCTTATGGGCCATTACCTGACCTAATCTTAGGTTTCTCTCAAGAATAAGAAGCATATACTCCTATTCCCATTGACCACAATTTGGTTCCACCACCTCTCTACATCCCAGATCCACTTACGACCGCAGTTACACTTCCACAAGGGAGGAAAATGCAACCACCACGGGGCTCTTGCATTAAGTTTTATAATTTCCCAGGCAATTTACTTGAGGGAAAGTGGGGAAGAAGGGGAGGAGGGAGAGGGAGTGATAAATAGACATTACAGACTTTTTCCTGGAAAGATCATCCCAGTTTTTCTAATATCCCAGAATTAAAAGAATGTATTTTTTGTGTGTTGCCATGGAAACTTCTAGTAACACAATTGGCGCTTTTTTTTTTCCTTTTCTAAGTTTAAAAACACTTTCAAAATCATTCAAAGAAATTTTCTAAGGTAATTTTAATATGATTGCATTCTTTATTTAGGGCTGTGGTATTTGTATTGCTTTTAATTTTATTACTTCACATGTTAGAGGAGTTTCTAATGTGTGTATGTGTGTTGCTTTAAATTTAAAATGATACATACATATATATATTACATGTCACCATTTGACTGAAAGGCATTCGTTTTTGTAGCCTTCACAGCACCGCCCTTGGGTGCTTTTCTCGCCCTCTGCCTTCTGGATTCAGCTTATGAAAAGGTGAAGCCCCTTCCTATCTGCCACTGACAAGCCTACCTGCTTACACAGGGTGGGTGTGCAGTCAGTTGGTGAATACAGTCAATCTATGTGTTTGTAACATCAACCATCTGGGTGAGCTCCATAACATATAGTGAATTCTCTGGATATTTTCAAATATTTGTCTATTTCAAATAACATGAATAAAATATTTGAATTTTTAATTACATCAAAATTTTTCTCAAAAATGTTTTGGCATTCAAGAAAACACAACTCACCTAGATTCTTGGGTTCTTAAATTTTCTAGCTGCATTAGAAAGTAAGGAACTGGAGACTTTATACTGATTTGGGGCAGCATAGACAGATGCTGAGGAAGGTGGTGCCAGGAATTTTTGATCTGAGTTGCTAGTCACTCCCATACAAATGGACATGGTGAGAACTTCTCCTTCACGCTCACAATGTTGATCTGGCCTAGCTGTCGACTGCTTGATGACGGAGTTTCTTTGAAGTGAGCAATGCTGACAAATATGAATGAATGAAATACTACACTAGGAATTGTTGGCAGCAGACCCAGTCACTCCAACCCATTTTCAGAATATGAAATGGCAAGTATTCAGGAAGGGCATATTATCCTTTGAAATAACAAAAATAAGGAAAACCCAACAAACACAGTCAGTGTTTACCCAAAGAATACAGTAACATAGTTGCTTCACTTTTAATATTCTTAGGAAGTAACTGAATAAATGTGCTACAAACATGTGAAACTAGGAGTGTGTGAATGAAAAAGGGAAACAAAGGAGGAAATACAAGACTAAACAATGTAATCTTCTACTTAAACGTTTCAGAATTTTATTAATCCTTTAAAAAATACTTTCTTTTTTTTTAATTAACTCAGTATCCTGATCTTAGTTACCCTCATACGTCGTTTAGTTTGATTCTCTTTATTACTAGATTATGTAAATCATTACTTAATCAAATCTAAAGATAAGAAAAAAATTCTAGAAAGACTTATAATAATGAAATACAGGATTAGAAGTTTAAACCTACTAAAAAATACCATGGCCTATCACTCGGCTCTGTGTGAGGCATGTTTGGGGTCTAAATGTGCACTTTGATGATAAGCAGAATTCACTACCACAGGGAGCAAAACAGGGCAGGAAGATGGAGGGTGCTAAAAGATCACATTATTTTGCAAAATGCACGGTACTTTAACACGCTATCCTGCTTAGAAAGCCTCTACATGTAGTCAAATTAATTTTTCCAAAGATAATTTGGTGTTTTGAAGATAAATCGTCACTTACTAAACAAACAGATGGCGTCATAAGACAATTAACCATTTTAGGCTTGACAGAATTTTCCCATTTCAGTGTACAAACCTCTTGATATTGAGGTAAGAGACTGCTGCAATGGACAGCAACTGTTTTATTTTATATGATTGGAGTTAAAAATTTTGGAATTTCATACTCGCATGGATTTAAAATAATTTGTAAATTGAAACTTTGGACCTACATGTTAGAGGCACAGATACATTTATAAAATAGTCCATTGTCAATCTTAGGTCACTGATTTAATAAAGAATTTGGTAACTTTACGGGGAAGGTATGAGGGAGGTATATAAGGAAAGAATCGATACGGATTGTGTTGAGACTGATTTTGTATAAACACAACATGTTCATGGTTGTATCTCTTGTTTATAATTTCCAGCTAACACAAAGATGCTCTAAGGGGAAGATCAATATTTTAAATAATGTATTTGCTTAAAAAATCAAACAGTGCCTGCTTCATAAAATTCTTACTACCTTTTACTAACTGAGTTCAGAAATAGTTAGAGGGGTGATCCCTCTGGATCAGAATTAAAATAACAAATGAGATCAATAAATCTCACTTGAAATTGGTCTTTCCACATCCATATTCCTTTTCAGACCAATTTACGTGGAGATCCATTACCTAAACCTTATGGACTCACATTCAATGACATCATATTCTTATATTATATTTCCCTGACTTAGGCAGAATTTTTCCGTGCTCTGATTGGGTTTGACAATCACATACTGAGTAGAGCTTAATTAAGAATGGGGCAGGAAGAAGAAACTGGGAAAGGAAGGCATTCAGACAATAAACATGCAAAACAATGTGGGCAAAAAGAATAAACAACACTCCCTGGGATTTTCCCTGTTGGGGTATCTTTGAGCAAAGCTGCTATGGGAAGATAGGTAGGTTGCTGGAAAATGCAGGGTTATTCTGGAGGAAATAACTCTCAGGATGATTCTCATAGCCAGACCAAATTGCTACTTGATTAACTCCTGATAAAACTCAGAGCGCACAAAGCGAGGCAGTGAATCCTTTTCCATCAGGGCGTGGATTCTTTTCTGGGCCACATCAAAGCTGCTCAGGGAAGGTTCCACCAGGTTCTTCATTGTGATGTCCTTCGTGAAGTGATCAATATTCACCTGTGGGCCAGGAAATAGAGTCATGAGTCAGCCCGGGTTGCAGGATTTGATGAGGGGCAGGAAAGGAAGTGGAATTTCTCACCAACAAAACACATGAGGGGAAGACAGTCATAAAAAGTGAGAAATACCATTTCTATTTTATAGGCAATGTGGTAAGGCAACTGATGCTCCAACAAATGCATGACCCAGATTAAGATCCAACCAGTGCTAGACACCCACCAGGTTTCACACCCTCCACCAGCAGCTAACACATGCATACCTCATTTAATCCTCACTTCAACCCTAAGAATAAGTCTTTTCTTTTGTAGGAGGAGAGAAAATATAGATATATATAAAGGTTAAGTGGCTTCCTCAAGGTCACAGAGCCAGTAAGTGTATTTGGATCTAGAGACTCAGAATTTGAAGCCAGATATCCCGATGTCTAATCCCACAATCTTCCTTCCACGGTATTTGGTTTCACGCCTAGTGGAGAAAGTGAAGAGGGAGAAAGGAATTCTGCCCAGGGATCCAGGACCTTTTGCTTGGCTCCAGAAGAGCAAGGAAACTTGGTCTTTACCTGAAACGAGCCAAGAAACAGTGGTTCTGACAGAATAATAACAAAAATAGCAGCTAGTATTTATTGAGTGCAGGCACTGTGCTGAGAACTTTACTTGTACAGGCACTGTGCTGATGAACTCATTTAATTTTACAACTCTATGAGGCACATACTGACATCTACATTTTAGAATTGAGAAACAGAAATGTTAAGTGATTTGCCCAAGCTCATAAGTTGTAGAGAGAAGATTCAAAAGCCCAGCAATGTGGCTTTTAACCAGTGGACTGCAGCGTAGGAAGGCGTTGTGGCTTTCATGTCCTGAGTGCAGTGCCACTATACTGCACAACACCTGGGGACACCATTCGTATTAGGGGCCATGTGCATGGTCCCCTGGAGTTGTGCAGCATACAGCCTGCATGGGCTTGCCTGAGTATGATTTGAGAGGAATCGTTGTACATCACGTTGTATGCTTTCATCACTCTTAAGCCATCTGAGTGTAAAAGGGAAAGAAACCGAATCCAAATCAGCCAGTGGTTCTGACCTAGAATGTTAGAAAATGTTTCAGCTCTCTCTTGGGCTGCTAGAGATCATTGATGGTAAGAAAAGCTATTTGGGCTCAGAGAACTATGGAGTGGCTGTAGGTCAGAGTCAGGGATGGAGGCATGATTGGGGAATACCAGGCCAGAATATACAGGAGGAGAGAGCTGTGTGTGAAGGTCCAGGATGGAGTGAGTTGAGGCTATGGTAAGATTTTTCATAGGTGAGAGGGGCCGGTGTGCTTTACGCAGGCCTGGCGGAAGACCAGTCAGCCCTGGGCGCAGCCTCAGAGGTGGTGTAGTCCCATGCCGGCCTCTCCACGTGAAGACTCCGAGGCCCACAGAGGTCAAGTTACACGCCCACAAACAGCTAGTGACGGACAGAGGTGAGGCCATAATGTGTATTTTTTGCTTCTCAGTCTATTATTCTTTCCGCCATCCTAAAGCAATGCTTCTCTCTTCTTTTATATTAAATGTATACCAAGCTAGGTAGGCAGCCTTACTCAAAATGGTTGAATTTCTAAAAACTATAAAAAATCTCCTAATCTTATTGTTTTAAAGAAGTGGTGCATTTAAAAACTCTCTGACACGTTGCATCCACCAGCTAATAGCAGCTATTTAGCTTATTATTTTTATGTGCATAAGCCTCTTCTAATGAATCATTCTGATACACATTCACCTGTATACTGAGCCAGGAAAATATTATTTCATTAATTTTAAATATGGTCAAATGGCAATTTGCAATGTACAAATTATCTACTTATTGAACTATATCAGGCCGTTTCTCTTTTTTTAAATCTTAGTTCCAATTCTTACCGCTGTATCTCTCTGTCAGTTCCTGAAATTAAAGAGCTGAGATGAATATTCAGAGACAGAAAAGTTAGATTACTATTTGCCTGGGTAAATTTTTATATAGATCAATCAGCTACTTATCAAAATTAAATCATAAATTTTTAGGTTAAAATACAAGATTGGGGGAATTTTTTAAGTAATAATAGCTACAATGTATTAAACATACTCTAGGTACACATACATATATGTGAGATGTTTATAGTTAAGGGCACCAAGGATCAGAGGGCTTTAGCTAGATACTTGAAGTCACAAATCTAGAAAGGTCTAGAGTTGGGATATCTGCATCCATTCACCTCACAAATATTTACTGAGTGCTTATTATGTGCCAGGAGCGGGATTCACATTTCCTCTGATGCCTAGCTCAGAGAACTGAGGCCAAGATTATTTTAATTAGAGCCCATAGGTTCTTATAATTGGGGGCCACCATTTGTTTGTTCTATTAACTCAGTTAGGGTTTTATTTATTTTGAAACTCCATTTTTAAGGTTTCATATTTTCATGATAACCACCAATATTTTATAAGGAACCTTGAGAACAGTGTTTTCCTGGAGCTCAGAAACTCAGCTAGGGTTTTATTTATTTTGAAACTCCATTTTTAATGTCTCATATTTCATGATAACCACTAATGTTGTTATAAGGAACCTTAAGAACAATGTTTTCCTAAAGCGCAAAGCAGCTAGCAATAGTCTGGATGAAATATCTGTTTGCAGATATTTCAGCAAATCCTAGAATTCTGTGAAGAGGAAAAGTTGACAGGAAGGTAGGCTGGAACTGGGGAGTCTAGCTGAAGTCGGGAAATGTATGTCAAGTTTAACACTAAATTAATCTCCTTGATAACATCATAAATAGAGATTCCATGCTAACAGATGAAGGATAGCCCAGCACAAAAGGCATCAGAAGCAGGGAAAGCTAACATATGTGCATGGGGTGGGAGGCTGAGAAGTAGAACAGGAGATCTGGAGAGGATCCCCAAATTAATTTCCACAGCAAGATGATTAATTTCCACAGCAAGACAATCAGTTTCCTTCTATGGCTCTTTCACTTTCTCCTCCTTGACTCATGGTATTCTATTCTCTCAAGCTCCTGACCTCCACCTCCTACATCATGGAGCAAGCTCATCTGTTGGTATTAAGGTATATAATTTGTCCATCCACTCAAACATATTTACCCTTTAAAAAGGATCAGTGATGAGTAATTCATAACCAAAGGAATAAATATCAAAAGGTGGAACTCCAAGAGTCTAGAGCACCTGTGCGGGAAAACAGAGATATTGGGGATTTTTCCCTTTTGAATCATCTTCATAGATTACTGCCTACCTACAAGGCTTGCTCAGATCACCTCTGTACTGGACTCCAAATCCTGATGAAATATTTAATGCCCAAATTGGACTAAGGGGAACAATGTGGAATGAGAGTGACCTGATCAAAACATGATGAACAGGTCTTATTGAGGCCATCCTCAATTCCACAAAAAGGCTTTCAATTCAGTTTCATAAATAGCAAAGAACAGATAAACTACCCCAAAGCTTCTTTGAAATCAACACACATCTTATCTTTAGCGGTCAATTAACAGTATATTGTCTTCCAACATCTCTGGCACTGTTATCTTGTAATAATTTGAATTTCATGAGTAGATACTCTGTTGTCCCAACTAGGGTGTAAATGGAAAACGCTTGGGGGAAACAAAAGGATAGAGAAGAGTAGAGGAAAAAAAGAGAGTTTTCAAGAAAAAGAAAGGGAAGGGGAGGAGAAGAGAGGAAAGATAGGTGGTAGGAATACTCATTAGGCATTAATTAGTTCAGACATTGAGATGTATGTTTTCATATCTGTTGTTTGATTTCATCCTCACAACAACCTTGCAAAATAGTCCTCATTATCCCCATTTTCACAGAGAAGGAAACTGAATTCAGAGAGACTCAATGATTCAGCCAAGATCATACAACTAGTATGGATCCCACTTGAGAAGACACGCTACTGAAGTGAGACCCGTACTGCTTGAAAGTGGTCTCCACAGGATTCAGGTTCACATCAGCTGGACCACATTGCTCTGCCTTTGCACTGCTTAGAAAGGTGGGACATTCTCAAATCAGAGGAGCCTTTGTCTGCGGGTTGTACCGCAGATGTAAATCCTGCCAGGGAAGTCATTGAGCTGACTCACAGTGACCACACTCACCCACCTCCCCATCAGGACCAACCTCCTTAGGAGCCTCCGCTTGGATGAATTCTTCGTAAATTTTCTTTGCCTTCTCAGCCATCTTGTCGGCGGACTTGATCTTCTTGTAATTCTCACAGGCAATCCAGAACTCAAGGTTTTCCTCACTGAATTCTGATTTCAGGAAACTTTTGAAGCTGGCAAGTCCATCTAGCAGGAAAAGTCAGTGGGAAAATAAATTTATTTATTTATTTGTGTGTTTTATCTATCTATCTATCTATCTATCTATCTATCTATCTATCTATCTATCTAACCAGTACATCCTGCTCTATAGCCTAAGCTTATTTACTATATATTTCTGTCACATATATAAGAGCCTTTCAAATGATAACTTATTTACACCTCATGACAAACCTAAGAGGCAGGTGCTGTCAATAACCAATTTTACAAATGAGGTCAGAGAGGTCAAGTAATTTCTGTTAGTTAACCAGCTGGTAAGTGGCAGAGCTGGGATTCAAATCCAGGCAGCCCATATTTGGGTGATAAAGGTTTACCTGTATATGGTATCAAGGAATACCATGAACACTAATGCCATTCTGGATACTTATCAATTACCAAAAAGAAAAAAACACATTTAAAACTTGGTTCGGCAGTGTAAGTAATACTGATGTCAATTATCATGTATAAACTACTTACAATCCTTTTTTTTTCTTTCTACAGACGATTTTTGGGCAAATATTATGTTCCAGGCATTATGATAAGTCACTATGGTAAGTAAAATAGACATGGTTCCTGCCCTAATGAAGCTTATAGATTCTGGGGGAAGTAGAAATAAAATGAAGAAACACAAAAAACATTTACACAACAAAGGAAAAATCATATGAAAGATAGTAACAGAGTAGGAGAAGGATCCTAATCTCATTTTAGGGTTAGGGAAGGTCTCCATGAGGAAGTGACATTCAATTTGAGACCTGAAGAAGGAGAGGGAAGGGGCCCAATGATGTTACCACATGCAGAGTAGTTACTAGGCCCATCAATTATACACCAGTCTTTAAAGCATATTAGATTTAGCATAACTGTTGTGATTTTGTTTTCAGTGTACCGTTGCTCATGTAGGATGGACTTCAGCTTATAATTTAAAAAATACACACATATAATATATATACATATTTACGTCTACGTACAAATATATATATTAGAGATTCTTGCGCCTGATCCTTTTGTTTTCTTTTTATTTCCTACCCCTTCAGCTCTAACCTCCAAAGTGGTTGATGAGTAGAAGGTAAGTTGAGGATGTAGGAAGGCATTGGAGAGGAATAAAGGAAAAATCACTCTGTAGCTTCAATTTTTTCCTCCTTTTTAAAGCTTATTATATATATATATATATATATATATATATATGTATATTAAAACCAAAATTCTAACAAATGCATATTTATAGAGAGAGAATCCATGTCCATTTATTATCTAAAGAAAGTAGACTTCTAAAGGAAGCAGAGAAAGAGAAGAATTCTAGTTTTCCACAGACTATATCACAATTATAGGCCAATCCTCAGTAACGTTCCTGGCATGTCACTCCCTCCCAGGGAAGACAGGACTGACTGTCACCAGTACGTCAAGGTCCAGTTTTCCTCTAAGTTGCCCCCTATCAGGAGACACTTCTGCAATCCATTAATTCTACTTAGGGAACATATTCATGTTCTGAATTCATTTCCTTTGACCTAATATCAATCGATTTCCCTTTCCCTTGAATATTTGTCCTCACTCCTTTTCAAACAGTCTAAATTTTCATTCATTAGTCATTGTTGATTTCATACAACATGCACAAAATGCATGTGATGATTAAACCAGAGATGCATGGTTGTCATTTTGTCAATTGCCCCTCTATATATTTTTATTGTCTTCATCCCCTTCACATTCAATTCTAAAGAAACAGAATGGCTAGTGATAATTAACTTGGATTAAGGCCACCAGCGATTTCTGGATCCAAACAAGACACTTTGCACTTTAATCCCCTCTCCCTGTTCTTACCCTAAAATCATTTTTTATTGATCAACACCTGAAAATACATCTGGGAGCAATGGTAGGTATGATAAACAATTTTTTCTAGAAACCTAGCTAGAAGAATTACTTTAAGACCATTTGATAACATGTACCTGGATAAAATCAGTTATATTTTCCCTCTCCCTCTGCCCATATTTCCAGCACTATTTATTATAATTTAGTGACACGGGAGTCAACATAGATGCTGAAATAAGAAATAATACCTAGTTCTCTCTGTGTCATGGTTCAAGTTTTCATTGTTTCTTAAACAAAGGTAGTCTCTGTCAAAATGGAAAAATTCCTAGGCACCTTCTAGCTGCCAGGAAATGACAGCAGGAATGAAGTCTTATGAGCTCCCACACAACTGGAACTAAGATTGTGGAGGAAATAATAACTTCATTAAGTTATACTCAATAAGTCTGTGGCCAATTTGTTCTCATTAGCCCAGTTTTCCCACAACCTATCAGGCACTCTGAATCACTCATTCCACGTCTTCGTAGAAGGTAGAGATATAATCCCAGTCCACCCAAACATTATTGTTTATGACCTGAGGACACTTGCCAGGATTCCACAACAACATTAACATTTACCACGTATCCAGGGAATGAGCTTGGAAAATAACTTTCCAGTGCAGTGAGCCCATTTCCTGGGTACTGGTTTCATCACTCTCATTAAATTCCACAGTATTATTTTAAGGCTTTTTGTCAATATACAGACTTTAAAACAAGACTCATAAAATGGCTTTACACTCTATTGGTCTGGGAGATGATTAAAGCTTTCTCACATCTGGCTTTTGAGAATTCTTTGGAGGGACCCTTATTAGGACCCTCTAAATCCACTTTCTAGATACTTTTTCCCCTTTAACCTCTGGTTTTCTACTAGCCCATTCCTTGGAGAATTTTCCTGTTGAATTCCCATTACCCTTGAGGAAGTCCTCTTGTGTCAGAGTCAAATAGACTCCAGGCCAAATGTCTCTACTCTGCAAGGAACACACATGTCTTCCTTGCCCTACCCCATTCCCCTGCCCACTCCACACCACAGTAGAGCCCCCAGCACACATCCCTGATAAATCACCACATACTTCCCTGCTGAGCCTGCACAGAGCCTCAGTATACCTCTCAACACACCTCTTCAGGCGTCCCCTCCCTAGGAAGCAAATGAAACCCACCTGATCCTCTGGTCTGGTGAAAACACTCTGGCTTGTGACCCACATTATAATTCCAGAGCTGGCCCTAATGTGTGATGTCACTTTTTTTTTTTTTTTTTTTTGCCAACAAGATTAGCCCTGAGCTAACATCTGTTCCAATCTTCCTCTATTTTATATGTGGATCACCAACACAGCATGGCTGACAAGTAGTGTAGCTCTTCGCCCAGGATCCGAACCCGTGAACCCGGCCACTGAAGCAAAGCGTGCCAAACTTAACCGCTAGGCCACGGGGCCAGCCCCAGTTGTCACTTTTGACATTCATGTAAAATAGAGTAGCAGCCCTACCAAAGAACAAAATGAAACCACCTATAAACCCACATTGAAAATAAAAGGAGTGGTCGACAAATCTAAGTCAGATTGATATAAAGGAAAAATATTGAAAACTAGACTAGCATAAATCTCTTCTCCTAGGGGAAAAATAGTGAAATATTATTGATAAGTACCATTACATAGCTTCCTGGTTCAAAGCATGGGCTCTAGAGTCATGATTGCCTGGGGATGGATCCTGGCACACTACATTGCTATAGTAACTTGGGGAAGTTATCTAACTTCTCTGAGCCTCAGTTACCTCATCTGTTAAACGGAGATAATAATGGAACCTACCTGACAGGTTGTTGTAAAGATTAAATAATTCATATAAAGCTCTTACATGGCATTGAACATAATGATAGCTCAATAAATGCTAGCTTTCATCATTATTATTCACACCCAATTTAAAATTAATCTTTATCATCATTCAAAACCCAACTCAAACGTTGCCTCACACGTGAGGTAATCTTTAACCACTACCCTCCACTTGCTCTTGAGGATTTTTATCATTATGAGAGAAGAGATTACTTTCTGTCCTTTTTTTGGAAGTTTTGCTTTTATGGCTATCTTTTCCAGGAGGCTGTTAATTCTTTGAGTTCAACAGTTGAGTTTAATACCTGTATACCTAAATACCTGTATCCAGGGTACTTAGCATTCTTAAGTGGCACTTATCTTTGCCATTCTTTCTCATCCCACCTCCTAGTCTAAATCTGTGTGCCTAACATTTAATAGAGGTTTGCGCTAAACTAAATAAGACCCATTTAGGGGAGCATTTTCTCCCAAGTCACAGAACTGAAGAACACAACTTTAAAGAAAAATAAATTTACTGATTTTGCTATTGTTGTAATATTTTATTTCAGGGGCAAGTTTCCTAACCTCTCTGTGCCTCAGTTTCCTTTTCTGAAAAATAGAGATTGTTATTGTACCTAAATTCTAAAATTATTGCAATCATTAAATAAGCAAATGTATGCAAAGTGCTTGGGACAGTGCCTGGCACATGATCAATAATAAATGTAATCTATTGCTTTTATTATTATAATTATTCCTTTAAAGGAACTTGTGGCTGCCAGTGAGTAAGATAATGATAAATATGAGCCAGAAAATAAAACAGAGATTATTGAAAACCAAAGAGACTGGGTGGCGAAAAACTATAAGCTAGTCCTCTGAACACAGGACCAAGACAAGGATGTCCACTCTCGCCACTCTTATTCAACATAGTACTGAAAGTTTTAGTCAGAGCAATTAGGCAAAGAAAAGAAAGAAAAGGGATCTAAATAGGAAAAGAAGAAGTAAAGCTGTCACTATCTGTGGATGACACAATTCTATACACAGAAAACCCTAACAAATCCACCAAAAAAACTTTTAGAAATAATCAGCAAACACAGGAAAGTTGCAGGGTACAAAATCAACATACAAAAGTCAGTTGTATTTCTATACACTAACAATGAACTAGCAGAAAGAGAAATCAAGAACACAATCCCATTTACGATTGCAACAAAAAGAATAAAATACCTAGGAATAAATTTAACCAAGGAGGTGAAAGACCCTATTCACTGAAAAGTATAAGATATTATTGAAAGAAATCAAAGAAGATGTAAAGAAGTAGAAAGATAGTCCATGCCCATGGATTAGAAGAATAAACATGGTTAAA